CTTTTTTTTTTACTTTAAGAATTTTTTGCATCGTTCCAAACCTCGTAGCCCGCATGTGCCCATTTTGTATGATGGATGTTGTGTGTGTTCATTAATAATACCAGAGGTTGCACTTCCTCTAATACTACCTTAATGTACGATTAACGTATTTAGTATTCAAGTGTGAATACTCTTGCGTCAGCACCGAGTACGTAAAATATTCAGTATTTTTCCTGGGCCTCAGAACATGCCTAGCTACATCAGGACATCAGCCAGGTACATCTGACCCTTAAAATGAAATTTTAACGTTAAGAGAATTTCCTTGTTACAGTGGTATAGGGCTTTCTGAATTTTAATAATGGTTACTAACATAAGAATTAACTGACCCTGACCCAGATTTGTAGGTTACGGTACTGCTTTGCTGCCTCTGTAACTAAAACGGTCTTTACAGTAATAATCTAAAACAATAATTAAAATACCGGGCTACAAACAGGGTCCAAAAACTGAATAATTCTGATTCTACTAGACTATTTGGCTTAGGTGTAAACTATTTATAAAAGAACAGGCCTAAAAAGACAAAATATATTTATTTTCAAATTAATTAAATTTTCAAGTTAATTATGCTTTAAAGTCCAGTGTTCAATGTATGCATTATACGATTTAACATTAAAGAACCTCCATTTTTCCCCCCTTGGCACTACAGCCCCAGTGGGCCTAGGCCTACTTCCATGAACTTCTCCGTTCACTTCGGTTTTTCTAGATCTTACACATTCGGTAGGACTTCTTGGGCGGGTGATCAGCTCGTCGCAAGGCCTCTACCTGTACACAAACACAGAAAAACGCACACACACAAACTAAACATCTATGCTGTGAGTGGAATTCGAACCCATGATCCCGGTTTCCAAGCGAGCGAAGAGAGTACATGCCTTAGACCGCTCCCTCCATAGTTTACCCTCATAATTTATTCGTAAATTTCATACGATTCTCAGAAAGAAAACAGCGACTTGTTCCCTACACTGCATTAATAGACAGATCTCTGTAATTAAGCACAGCATGTTTCCTGTGAGGAAGGAACTGAATTATTAAATATTCCATTTAGAACAAATCCATGCTACAGACTATTAATTAACCAACTAAACATCTCTGCTAGCAGAGCCTGATGTTTCAGAGTCTCTACTGCATTTCACACAGCCAATGCTCCCTTGATCGCAGATCAGTTCTAACCACATCTGTCCCTCAATTTCTTTCCTTCAGTTCCATTTCAATTATTTCCATTATTCTCTGCCTTCTCATCTTCTCTTTCTCATCAGCTTCCCCAACCAATAAGCTGTAAGTATTCCTCAATACTCACATCCTGCTACATGTCTAGTCCATCATGATACCATAGATTTAGTGTTCCTAAAATAAAAGAAGACAAACTAAGTTTAACTCTGGCCGCGCCATAGCTCAAGCGGTTAGTCGCTGGCTTCCCACCGCGGCGTCCCGGGTTCGATCCTGGGTCTGGTCAAGTGGGATTTGTGGTGGACAAAGTGGCGTTGGGGCGGGGTTTCTCCGAGTACTTCGGTTTCTCCTGCCAATCTTCATTCCACCAATTCCTCCACAATCACCCTCGCCTATCATCTGGGGCTGGAAAAATAGGCCAGAAATGGCCGCAATACAAGGGACTTAGTCCCACCCCACTAACAATAAAAGAAAAGTTTAACTCTGAGTAGGCTTAAAAATGTGATTGTAAATCGAAAATTTTCACGGAGGAAATTTTTCATTTTATGCTCCTCTGGATTAAAATATATCATAACGGGTGGGTAGCAAATTTTCGGAAGAACCAGCTGCCTCCGCGTTCATAGTACCCTCTTCAAGTCCGATTTTATTAGCGTTGGACGACATGTGCTGAAGACGCAGGGATCTGGTTTCTTTGAAACTTTGGTAATCATCTATCGGACTCCATCGTGTCATAATCCAGAACGCGGTGATCAAAAGTATTTTTCGAATTCATTTATTAGGAAGTCTTAGTATAAAACAAATCATGCAACATAGATTAATGTATTCTGGGATATAAAATGGCGTAATTTTGTAGACAGACGAAAAAATTATAGAGGAAAATGCTGCCTCCATCTTCAGGATATATTCTGAAGACTGAGGCAACAGGTTCCCCTGAAACATCTATAGCCTATATATCTACCAGACTACATGGAGTCGCATCCTAGAACACAATAAACCCATCTAAGAACCTCAGACCTCACAAGTCATAGTATCCCCAGAACAAATCAATTCAATTCTCTTCTGTGAAGTAGGAGTTTCATCGCGTTCTATCAACTATTCTTTCCAGGATCGGTTTTTCCGATGTCTGCAGTGGTGTGTGCAGAGGAAGAGGTAAAACCTGTGGATAAGCCATAGAGGATCAGATCTGTCCACCCCAAATCCTACATGATCGAGGGAGATTCGAGCTCTTATCCGCAGCGGAAGGGGAAGCACAGATGCCTTAAACACATGACAAGTATGCCTTGACAGACTTTCGGTTCCTCATTTACGAAAACAGACATGTATGTACAAAAAATATTAATGGATCAGTGTTCTTGTGTTAATATTATAGTAAATTTTGGAAGTGACGCCGTGTAGTCTAGTTGACAGGTGAACGTACATATGTTTTGGATAGACTTCCCGTCTTCATCTTCATGGCACGAGGAAGAAGAAATTTCCTCCAAAACGTAGGTATCTATTTACCAGACTACACGGTACCATATCTCAGACTACTGTGATCTTAATATTTACCACCGTAAGAACCTTAGGTTTCATATGTTCTTCAAGATGTTTAACGATGAGGATATGGGCGTGCAGGGCGGAATTAGACCAGAAAATATTAATGCAAGGCTAGTAAGTAGGTGAGGCTTCGGAGGGAGGCTTATGTGAAGATACCATCCCAATAGGCTTTTGGTTTGTACTAGGGGGGAAGAAGTGAAAAACTCTGACAATTCAACTAAAGGTTAATATCGTGCAGGAGGGACTGAATGAATTTGCCGAAAACGTAATGCTTCTGACTTCGTATTCAGAAGATACTGGATCGAATACCGGACGAGATCTCAATTATCCTGACCGAAGGATTTCGTGGTTTTCTTTAACACTTCAAGGTAAATGCCGGGCAGTACATTCTAACTTAAACTCATACCACGGGAACTTTAGTTTCCATTTAAGAGTAACTATCCTCTTAGGCCGCGCCATAGCTCAAGCGGTTAGTCGCTGGCTTCCCACCGCGGCGCCCCGGGTTCGATCCCGGATCTGGTCAACTGGGATTTGTGGTGGATAAAGTGGTGATGGGGCAGGTTTTCTCCGAGTACTTCGGTTTCCCTTGCCAATCTTCATTCCACCAAATTCTCCATCATCATAATCACCCTGGGCAGGTACAATAGGCCAATCAGTGGTCGCCGTGCCGAGTGGACCCAGCTGGACTCCACCCCCACTAAGCGATTTTTTTTCTACTCATTTATATTAGAGGCTGAGTCGACCCCAGGGCTGTAGCGCGGTTGGAAGAGTTGGGTCAATTGAAAAATCCAATTACCCCATCGGAAATAAAAAACACTAACTAGCGTAGTGCCTCAACCAAATACGCTACCACGTGCCCCAAATAATTAAAATGTAAACTTCGTAATACCTTTGTCTTTACAGAGTTAAAGAGCTTACAGAACAAAGGTAATTGTAATCCCGCTGCTAAATTATACACCACTTCATGAAGACGTGTGGGGGAGTGGAGATGTACCTCCATTCTCCCTCACCCTTCGTAACTATTTAGAAGCGAGATGCTCCACCCCCTTAACCCCCGTACCCATTAGATAAGAGGCTGTGAGGTCCCGGAGGCTCTCTGGGTAAGAGAGGGAAGAGAAAAAAATCTCTACATCTCCCCACTCCGCCGAAAATCGAAACTCTAATTCTCCGGTTTTCCAGAGCCTAGCCTACTCGCTGTTCTACAAAGAAGCTGTAACAACCTGCTTGCAATTAACATAAACCCTCGAACTGGTGACAACTGTTACAATAACATACAAACTTCCTCCCTTCTGGCTAAACAAACATGTTTGTCTCCTTGCTATCCTAAATGGGTCAATAAAAGGAGGCGTACAAATAAATTGACTCAGGATGTGCACTGTAAATAAAAAGGATCTAGCACAAATAGCTGAGACTATCAACTGTACACATTGTGTGGGTGATTCTTCTCTCTCGTGTTTTGATGTCCTTGGTTCCTTTTGTTCACAGGAAACAGAAGCCTATCCGTGCCAACCAAACGTCAACGGGAGGTCCCGTATGCAAATCTTGGGCAGGAGACCGCCTAGTACGAATAATATTTACGTCGTTTTCTTCAGTTCTCCAAGTCGAATTCCGGAATGGATCAAAGCTAAAACCGATTTCTCTCCGAATTTCTTCAATTTCCCCCCCCCCCGGTAATCAACATTCTATCACTGCTCCATACTCTTCTATCACGACCATAGCCCAGACCAGGCAGCACATTATCATATTCTCGAGAAAGTTGGCTCCTAACAGAGCAAGGAAGATGGTTTTTGTAATATTGCCTCTGAGCCCAATTATATCAAAGAAATTGAAAAGTAAAATTATCCCTGTGCTTAATCAGTTAAGCACCATGCTATGAAGGTATATCAAGGAGTGGAGGTATAGCTCCACCATACTTTATCTCGGCACTAGATGGTGAACGGTGACCTTCACGCCCCGGCCGTTTTACCCCCAGGAAAAGAGCTCCGATACCCGTTAGATATAGGACGATGTACGCCTCAGATCTCATCTAGACTATGTGGAGTAGAAAAGCGCCCATTGATGTACAGGGAATGAATCATGAACGACCAGTCCATCGCCTGACCTATACCGAGTCAAGAAAACGGATCCAAAATATCATGACTTAACAGAAGACGTAACTGCAATTCAAAATTCAAAATTTGTCGCCCTTCAATGAAAATTCGTGGCATTTATGAATTGCAAAATGATTTATTGATTCATAGAAAGCAAAATAGGACTCACCAGAACTGATGGGGATCCTCGACATGATCCAAGTTGCGATGATGAGGATAGAAACCGATGAGCTGTGGATCTGCTTCATGACTGTATCTTCACTGGCACTTGTATTATCAAGATAGTTGGCAAACACCCATAGCATTGTCTGTCGGAATGAAACAAAACAAAAGAACACACTGAAAACTTTTATTTTCTTCTAATTTACTTCTGAACTTAGAGAAACAGCATCTTTCTATATGCACTACTGTATCAAACGAAGTCTGAAGCCCAGAAATAACATCACACAAAGCAACAGAAACGGAAGCACTTTACGTCAGACTGTATATTATTAAAATAAATTATGTTGAAATCGATACATGGCTTTAATAAACGTCGTTCCAGTTACAAATGTTACACGCTTTATAGGCCTATATGGTGCAACAGGAATGTATCCTGATTGGTCTGTTAACCGTCGTTACATCAACAGTTTCAAAACAACTTAAGACATACTAAATATCACTTTCACTTTTAAAGTATCGTCTAATTAGGTCGACGGATTAATTCACTTAGGATAAAATAGTTCCTACCTTATATTTTAATTAAAAACTAATATCAAAATTGTATTACTTGTAATTCAATACAATACTGAGATTGTTTTCAAAGCTATAAAATTACATATCAGTTATAACGTGCATTTTATGGATAATGATGTAGCATATGATATATAATATACATAATTACTTTTATTTAAGATATTTTTTATTTAAAACAGTAGACAAAACGAAGAAATCTGTCTCACATAAAACACTATTATATTTCGCAATTGTCACAAACAATATAACTGTAACTTACATAACGAAGTAATAGTGCAGTAGCCCTCCGAAATATTATATAGGCCTATAATATAGGTAAGTTTGATATGTAAATCACTTATTTCACAATCTGAGTACAAGTCACTTCACCCGACAAACATGTTAACATACATGAAGCTGTTAAACAAACGGACAGTTTAACATAAATATTCATAGCTGTAAACGAATACTAAAAACACGGTCATATGATAACAAGTCACAAGAATTGGAACTACTTATTTTGCACATACTTTCAAAACGTTATACGAACGTAAAAATGAAAACAGGAATTATATTATGAGCCTGTATTTTGGCTTCCAAGTAAAATCACATGTTCACTTGATGGACATCTCTTATATTCCTTCCAGACTGATTCACTGTCGTTGACCTGGGATCATGTTATGCGCCGCTATATTCAACTGACACTCCCGTGCCGCGTAAAGCAAAGGGAGGGGACTCCCCGGGTGAAGTTCACTTTGCAAGGCAGCAGTTGACGATACGAGCAAAGCGCCAGGACGTCCGCTTTCTGCGCTGTCGTCTACCAACTGACTATTGCATTAAGCTTCCAAGCGTTGCCACCAGAGGAGCTGTTATCGCAGAGGTGTATCCCTCCTGTCTTTCCGGCATCGAAGTGTATTGGTCGTATGTATGGTTACATTATCAAAGAATTGGTTCTTGTTTAAACTTGTTGAAACATGAATTTCACGTGCAATAATTTTATTTTAAAATTCGGTTCTTATCACACAGAAAATGCACTGCGTCTCCATTACGAAGACCAAACAGTTAATGCTGATTATTAGAGTATTCGTGTTTCTTCTCAGAATTATATTAATCACGTGAGTACAGGCTGTGGGTAAGATGCAGAGACTTTTAAAGTTCAAAGAAAGCGGTGGGTAAATCTAGTAACAACAGTGGCTTTGAAGAGTTTAAAGCTCTTTGTGTTTCTGTGTATCTTTGTTCATTTATTTATGACTTTCGCTGATGTAAAGCACACGACAGCATAGAGAAATGTCGATTTAAAGATGAAAAATATCATACGCCGTTGTGTCACAAATATAGTTTTTTTGGTACTACGTAAACACAATCGAACTGTCTAAAAAGTGCTACATCAGTGTATATCTCTGTTACTTACCTCAATTTTAATTAGATACCTTCACATAAAAATGTTGTAAAGTAAGATACTTTATCCTATAAAATTACAGGTCGAAATGAGCAAAATGTTTTATATCAATTTTGTACAAAAGGCCATTTGGTGAAAGTGGTATTATAGAGAATAATATTAAAAATTTTCTTACAGACATTCAGTTTATGGTGTGGACTGGATTGAATCGGTTCAGAATATTGTCCAGTAGGTTGCTTTGTTAGCCGAGCGGTCTAAGGCATGCACTGTCTTCGCTCGCTCTGAAGCCGGGATCGTGGGTTCGGATCTGTTTCCTGTGAGGTACGAACTGAATTCTTATTATTCTTATACACTGCCGGTCACGGTACCCGAGCGGCCTAAGGCATGCACTGTCTTCGCTAGCTTGCAAACCGGGATCGTGGGTTCGAATCCCACTCAGGGCATGGATGTTTAGTTTGTGTGTGTGCGTTTTTCTGGGTTTGTGTACAGGTAGAGGCCTTACGACGAGCTGATCACTCGCCCAAGGAGTCCTAAACCGAAGTGAACGGAGAAGTTAATGGAGGTAGGCCTAGGCCCACTGGGGCTGTAGCGCCAAAGAAAAAAAAAGGTTGCTTTTGTAGTAATAATAATAATAGATGTGTTATGACATGCGTAGAGAAGCAATTGGCCTAACTCAGAGAAGGGCTGTATTGACCAGGAATTACTCGAATTCTTGAATGGTAAGACAAAGTGAGAGTGGTTTCCACTGTACATGGGTATTGATTTTTTTATACAAAGAATTCAGTCCATTCTCTTGCCATTAACACGCGTGAAATAAATGGAAACAGCTGAATGAACAGCGTAACACAAAGATGGCGTTGGTCGAGTTCACAACACAAGAAACGTGGGGCTGTCCTAGGTCTGATGTTACTAAGAACTAAGTGCCTGGCAACAGTCTCATATTCATTCCGCCCTAATTCCATATTCTTCGTATGCGTTATGGAAAATCAAAAGTCCTCATTATCATGCCATTAATTCTGAAATGGAAATTCTCTTATAGTTGATCCAAGATTTAATTATCCTTGACACTTCCTGCATGTGTAGAATGTTCCACCTCGTTTCGATTAGTGGGGGGTGGAGTCCAGCTGTGTCCACTCGGCACGGCGGCCACTGATTGGCCTATTGTATCCTGCCACGGGTGATTATGATGATGGAGAATTTGGTGGAATGAAGATTGCCAGGGGAAATCGAAGTACTCGGAGAAAACCCGCCTCAGCGCCACTTTGTCCACCACAAATCCCACTTGACCAGACCCGGGATCGAAACCGGTCCGCCGCGGTGGGAAGCCAGCGACTAACCGCTTGAGCTATGGCGCGGCCTATGTTCCACCTCAGACAAGAGTGCATAATACTTGTAGTTCTGTGAGATCTTCTCTTCAGATAAATTCAGCATTCAAAATAAATGTCGGTATATACAGCGGAACATACAAATATACAATTCGAAACGCGCCAGACCTACAAGTCGCTGTTGGCCAATGCTGTTTCGAGGTGGATAATCCTGAAATGACTGTGGGACAATGCTGTTTCAAGTCGGACATCACTTTTCGCTGATCATGAAATCTCAGCCGGACTGTAAAAACCCAAGAGATTTTGTACACATTTTTGCTTGTTTACCTAATCCTTAACTCTTATACCTTACCTTGTCGAGTGCTTTTTTTTTTCATTCTTATCATTTTACAGACGGTAGGACTCCTTGGACGAGTGAACAGCTCGTCGCAAGGCCTCTACCTAAACACAAGGGAACATGAACACAGAATAAACCCATACACATACCAAACATCCATGCCATTTTTGGGATTCGAACCCACAATCAATGCTTCTGGACGAACGAAGACAGTACATGCCTTAGACGGCTCGGCTACCGTAACCGGTTTGTACATATTTCAATAAATGAAATGCAACGTAACTATAATACAGTAAAGCATCGATTTTCATGATAGAAGAGCGTAGATAGAGACAGCATGTCACTCCGAAACACTAACTCGTTTTGATATCCAAGAAAACTGTGGGTTGAAAGAATTCAGATCTTTAGAACAGAAACCCAGTTTCTTCCATTCCTATTTAAATACTTTCCTTCGTCTACGCACGTGTCCCGAGTATTCTCATTCTTCGAGGTTATGACTAAAGTTTCCTTTACATATGTCATATCTCCCGTGTATGCTACATGCCCAATCATATTTTTTTTTTCATCTCTATAATGACTAGAACAAGCCTGCATAGTAAATAAACCGGTTGGTGTCCAATGAGCCCACTTTGTTGTTTCGTATCATTCAGTGACAAATGAACCTGATAATGCCAGGCTTTAAATTTTTGTCAGCTTAATATTTAATGATTTAATTCCTATATCACAGGAAATATCAGCGAACGAGTTAATGCTGCTTATGTAAATAATCGCTACTTTTTGTGAGAGTCAGAAAGAAAAACTTCTGTTGGGAAGGTGTAGAAGACTTTTTAATGATGAAGCAATTTTTACATATACATGCAGAAACTGAGCTTTAAACATTTACAATTGTTACATCATGTTTACATAAAAGTTCAAAACTAAATAAATTGGTTCTTGTTTCCTGTGTGTTTATGTGCATGGCCTATATAGATATTCGAACGTTCACTAAATATCAATAGAGACTGCTGGTTAACAGATATGAAGTTAAACACTACGCATGTTTTCATTCACTTGTTTTCTTTCTGTTACCTTTGTACTTCCGGTAGCGCTGGTTAAAATGAATATAGATAAATGTGCCCTGGTGTGTAGATGACCCTGTACAGCTCTCCGTCTGTCAGTTACGGTTCTATGTGAAATGACAACCAGGCCCCCTTTTCGTATGTGACAAGTGCCAAGTACAAAACATGTACTGCTTTCAGGCTTTCGCAGTAAAACGCGTTCTTTCTAGGAAATGATCAAAAACATGATCACATAAAACGCGTTCTGATACTGATCGCCAAAACAATAATACATGCATGTATCTTTGTGGCTACGTTTATTAATATCATTGTTTTTACCCCTGTATAGGCGTAATAAATTATAAATATATATAGAGCACGAGGTCCGAAGGTCGAAAGAGACGGCAAGACTTAGTTGTGGATGAATTCTTGGAGTCAGATTTATCCTATAACAATTCATTTAAATTCACTCTACCTTCACAGCATGAATTTAACC